TTGGACAGGTAGACTGCATGTGAAACCACACTTGGTGCCAACGTGACCCTCAAGGACAGACGTGGGGACCCATGCAGTGGCAGGTCACACAAGGAGCGGGGGGCAGCGGTTCTTTCCTCCATGTGCAGCTTTGGGAAGCAGCTGCTAAGTGGACCCTGCCCTTGCAGAGGTAAATGTGATTTTCACATCCAAGCATACTCCATTCCTTCTAGTTCGTTTTATAGCCACTGGGGGAGTGGGCGAGGAGAAACCTGTCTCCAACATGACTTGCTTTTTCTTCACACAAATGAAAAGCACAACTAGCATCATTTTAAACTAAAAACTAATTTTCTATGAAAGACAAAACAAAAAAGTATACAAAAATGTCATTTTATTATGCCTATTGTTTGGTAGGATATCAGTGCCCTTTAAAATCCTACTATTCAAGTACAAATGATCATGTTTACAAAGTATTTACAATTTCAGTCTTGTTCTTATTCAGTTTCATATTTGAAAACATAACAGCTATCTGGTTATGACAGTTAACAAAAATAATAATAAAGATTGCAAAAAGGAGAACTTCTGCCTCATCAGCCACCAATCGAGCAAGTGCTTGGATCCAAGCTTCTGCTTCCCACTGGACACTTCAAGAACAACCTGGCCTCCATTAGAATACATGTCTCTTGAAAGAATAACTGGGTAACTGTTCTCCATGGTAGTCAATTAGAGTATGACAGTGTTCTGGCTGCTCTGGTTGCTGCCTTTATATTTTATGTTACGGAAATTTCTTTGAGTCATCACATACTGTATTTTTATGAACCTGATCTGCAGGAGGAAGGCCTGGACAACAATATACTGGAAGAATTTTTATTTAAATGACTATTTCGAATACAGGTTGAGTATCTCTTATTCAGGATGGTTGGGACCAGAAGTGTTTGGGGTTTTGTATTTTTCTTTGGATTTCAGAATATTTGCATTATATATATATATATATATACTTACTTGTTAAGCATCCACAATCTGAAAATCTGAAGTCCCACATCCAAAATGTTCCAATGAGCATTCTTCTTAAGCATGACCTCGGAGCATCATTTTGGTGCTCAAAAACTTTCAGATTTTGGAGACTTTCAAATTTTCAATCTTCAGATTAGGGATGTTCAACCTGTACTACTCAGGTCAGTGGCAGCATCTAGATGTTACCACATCAGTGATACAAGTAAAAATATCTTCTGTCCATATTTCATATTAGGGAATTGCTGAAGAAAACACTTCTGAGACAAGAGACTCTTTCAGTCATATAGTAAGATTGGGACGGGAATTCTACACCACAAATACTCAGATCCCTGTTCTGCTCTCTTAAAAAGCTTGTGAGAGGGGCCGGCCCGGTGGCGCACTGCTGTAGTGTGCCGCCGCTCCTGCCGAGGGTTCGGATCCCACATACAGACCGGCCGCTCACTGGCTGAGCGAGGGGCGGGAGCAACACCGAGGGTTGCGATCCCGTGGCCACCCGTGGCCGGTCCCGGTCCCGGTCCGGTACGGGCGCGACACCGAGGGTTGCGATCCCGTGGCCACCCGTGGCCGGTCC